CAAGTAGTGTTTTTTTTTTTTTTTTTTGAGACAGAGTTTCACTATGTCACCCTAGGTAGAGTGCCATGGTGTCATAGCCCACAGCAACCTCAAACTCTTGGGCTTAAGCCATTCTCTTGCCTCACACTCACGTAGTTTTTAATCTTTAAACTTTTATGGTATCTTTAATTATGCATGCAAGACATTTTCCTCCTTTAAATGAGCATCAGCTATTGAAATTCATCATGTGGATAGCTGGGAAGACAGCAGTGATCTTCTTGACCTTGGCTGACCTTTTAGAGTAATCTGGGATTGGCAGCAGGGAACAGAGAGTGCATATAGTCTGTGGTTGTATTCTGCTTTTTACTCCTTTATCTTGGTGAAACTACTGAGTCAATTAGAGAGGGTCTCACAAACTTTGGGAAACAAAGGAGCCTAAGACCCTTCTCCCTGGACCTTGGGCATAATCTGTTCTGGGCCAAGAATATGTCTGGCTGGACCCCTCCTTTTTTGGCTGCCCCTGTGTCAGTATGGGCTCTACCTAACATTACCTGACTTCTCAGTTTCTGTCATAAGGCTTCCTTTACAAAATTGTTAGCTTTCTGGAAGTGTGATATTGTAGCCAGTGTTCAAGGGGCTTTTAAAAAAATTCTTAGTTTAAGAAGTTTATTGTATACTTACTACCAGTACAGCTTTTGGCTAATTGTTATACAGGTACAAGACAGTATAAAATATTTGAGATAGTTAATTTTTTTAAGCTTACAATGAAAATGAAGACATGTAACTAAGTATAAGGAGCAAATAAAGGGCAAATGTCACAAGAGAGGCATTGGCCAAGTTGGGACTGGGAAGGGGATATAGAGGCTGGTTTAAAGGAAGGAAAGATGCCATCCAGCTGGAAGGTGTCCAAGAAACTGCGATACTTTCAGTCTAGTATTTATGTAAGTATGGTTGGTAGGAAAAGGTGAGTCTTTGTGGGTGAAGAGTGGGGATTTCAGGCAAAGGACATGAGTGAAGTTATAGAACAGGGAAAATGTGGGACAGTTTAACTCTGAGTGCTGGAGGGAGAATGCCAGAGATAACACTAGATTTTGCAAGTCAAATTATGTTCTTCCTTTGTTCAAAACTTACAGCTTCTCATCTCATTTAGAGAAAAAGTCAAGAGTCCTTATTGACCTACAGGTTACTGCGCATTATTTCCCACACGTCCCGATTTCCATTCCCTGTGACTCTCTTCCTTGTTTCCACTTCTCTACCATAGTGGTCTCCTTTGTCTGCCCCAAAGAGTTTATACCTCAGGGCCTATTTCCTCTGCCTGACGCTCTCTTCTTCCTCATGACTGCATGGTTCATTCTTCTTTCAGACCACCATTATCACAGAGACCTGTCCTGATCTCTGCATCACACTTCCTCCTCCCCACTCCAGCCATTCTCCACCCCCCCTTACTTTTTTTTTTTTTTATTTTTTTTTTTTTTTTTTTTTTATTGAATGGTAACTATGTACATTAATGCACTTCTGGGGTACAATGTGGGGTTTTCACATGCAATCCGAAATACTTCCATCAAACTTGTCAACAGAGCCTTCATGTCATTTTCTCAGTTATTGTTTTAAAACGTTCACATTCTACTCTTAGAAAGATTCACTTGTACCCCTGTAAGATAAACCTCAGAAGTGATCCCTCCAATCCCCCTCCCTCTACCCATTCCCCCCTCCATTCTCCCTCCCCTCTCCCCATATTCTTAGGCTTTTGGTTATAGCTTTCATATAAAAGGTATAAATTAGTTTCATAATAGGGGTGTGTACATTGGATACTTTTTCCTCCATTCTTCCCATATTTTGTTTTATTTTACTTCATAATATTCAGGAAGTATGTATATAAGATATCCATATATGTTCACTTGTTAATTATTGTCTTTTGCTATTATGGTCTGATGGGGTGCAGGAAATGCACCCCAAAATATGGCATCTTGGCATACTGAGTGTTTTAGGATGAAGGAAATTAATAAAACCAAAACGGCAGAAAGAGCTCTCTGACCTTCTCTTTCTCTTTCTCTGATATTCCCCTGATTTTTTCCCCTAAAGTATGAAAAGAATTCTCTGACATGCCATCTCTGAAAGTAGGTCATAAGACCCTCATGTGACATGTGTCCTGCCCTATACCTGGAGGAAAGGAAGGAAGACATAGGGATTTATAGAAAAATCTAAACAAATAGGCCTTGCTAAGTTCCCCATAGTATCATTAGGTCATATGTGCATTTTGTCCAGTCATACTTGTACAGGACTGTCCATTCTTCATCAAACCTAAACGTAAAAGAGTTTTTCCCTGGGTCTTTGGAAGCCTTTGGTCATGTAAGACTTTGCTTAAATAAATTTTTTATACTTTCCTCTTATTAATCTGTCTTTTGCTTTAGGGATATCAGCTATGAACTTTATAGTGGGTAAGGAAAAGATACCACTTTTTCTCCCCTATATGTATATGACCCTGAGGAAGAGGATTTACTTACTGTTGTGTCTCCAGTACCCCAGACCAGTGCCTGGCATGTAGCTTATACTCAAATATTTATTGGAGAAAAGAGAAAATGAGAGCAGAAAAAAAAGTGTGAAAGACGGAGGGAGTTGGATGTAAGTGCCACAGAATTTTGTATTCCAGGCACAGGAATAAAAATTTAACTCATCAATCTGTGAGTAGCCATTGAAGGTTTTCAACAGGGGGTGAAAGCAAAAGCATTTAATTTAGCAAGATTATTTTGGTCTTGATGTATAGCATGGATATATATTTTTTAAGACTCATCAACTTTTCCACCCCTATTCCGCACTCTGTAACATACCTGTATGTGCTTTTCTTTAAAAACAACAACAACAAAACCCAACTTTTGGCCAGGCCTGGTGGCTCATGTCTATAATCCTAGCACTTTGAGAGGTGAGGTGGGTGGATTGCCTAAGCTCAGGAGTTCAAGACCAGCCTGACCAAGAGCAATACCCCATCTCTATTAAAAACTAGCCAGGCATCGTGGCAGATACCTGTAGTCCCAGCTACTCAGGAGGCTGAGACAAGAGGATTGCTTGAGCCTAAGAGTTTGAAGTTGCTGTGAGCTATGATGGTATGGCACTCTACCCAAGGTGACAGAGTGAGACTCTGTCAAAAAAAAACAAAAAACCCCACCTTTTAATTTTAAAATAGTTTGACTCATGAGAAATTGATAACATAGTACAGTGAAAGCTCTTTGTGTAATTTCCCTCCAGTTTCTCCCAACGATAATATGTTACTGCAATACATTGTCAAATACAAGAAAATAACCCTGATATGATACTATTAACTCAGGTACAGACCATAGTTGGATTTCATCAGATTTTACGTGCACCATTTTTGCGTGGGCATAGTTCTATAAAAGTTTATGACATTTGTAGATATGTGTTATTTAATGTTTCTAGGTCTTTGAGGTTTTTTGACAGAGTGTTAGAAAATATGCTCTTTGGCTCAGTGCCTGTAGCTCAAGTGGCTAAGGCACCAGCCACATACACTGGAGCTGGCAGGTTCGAATCCAGCCTGGGCCCCCCAAACAACAATGATGAGTACAACCAAAAAAATAGCCAGGCATTGTGGCAGGCGCCTATAGTCCTAGCTACTTGGGAGGCCGAGGCAAGAGAATCCCTTAAGCCCAGGAGCTGGAGGTTGCTGTGAGCTCCCATGGCACTCTACCCAGGGTGATAGCTTGAGGCTCTGTCTCCAAACAAAAAAAAAAAGAAAAGAAAAGAAAATATCCTCCTTAATACCACTCTTCTGGTCCTTGGCCTCTTATCAGTTACACACAAATAAAGGGAAGGAATGGCCTATTGTTTTGTTTCATTGCTATGCTTTGGTGTTTCTTATAGGTAGTAACCTTTCCTTTCTATACCAAAGATAGTTTTAAAATTTTACTTCACCAGTACTGACAAACCATATCCCAGTCAAATCATATTACAGTCATCCAACAGTACATTAAGGAGATTGGTTCCAGGACACTCCTGCCCCACCATCCACTGATGTACCAAAATCTACACATATTCGGCCCTGTAGAACAGAACAGCAAAAAGCTAGCCCTCTGTATACACAGGTTTAGCATCCTGGGAATACTGTATTTTCAATCCATGTTTATTTGAAAAAAATTCACTGTAAGTTCAAACCCTATGCAGTTCAAACCCCAGTTATTCAAGGTTCAACAACATTTACTAGGTCTTGATTTTTAAATTTTTATTTAAAAATCAGTACATGATATTATTTCTGTTGGACATTTGTCTACTTAGTAATCCTTCATATCCTTTCCAATAGTAAAATGTTTCTATAAGACTGTTAACAGAGTTCTAAACTTTTTTTTTTCTTGTTTAGACCTACTAATTAGAGATATATTTCTGATTAGTAATTTACCAACAATTTTAGAATCAGCAAGGATTTTGTACAGAAAGAGAATGTTTAAAGTCTTTTTTTCATTCTTTTTCTTTTTTAAAAATTTCAGATTAACATATGGGTGCATATAATTAGGTTACATTGTTTGTATTTGTTAGGCAAAGTCCAAGTTGTCCATTCTTTCTAATTCGTAGCTTTTTAAATGTTCTGGTAACCATGTTATTTTACTAAAATCTGGTCATATTAGTTTGTACATTTAAGTGGTTTATAGTCTTTCCAAAACAAAAATAAAATGTTAAAGTTTAAATCTTACAGCTTAATCCCTTTGGCTGTGCTATATATGTGTGTATATGTGCTCCACATGAGCTAGATTGCTGTATGTGCTATTATATACTTATATGTTATATGTTGCTGATGTTTAAAGTACTACTTGATGTTTTTTTTTTTTTTTTTGGCAGGGGCCGGGTTTGAACCTGCCACCTCCCATATATGGGGCCAGCGCCCTACTCCTTTGAGCCATAGGCGCTGTCCCTGCTTGATGATGTTTAATAGGTTTCTAAATTGATATGCTTGCCTATTTGTGACAGCTAAAGAAAAATCAAGACCTATCTGAATGTACTTGATATATTTCTTACAGGTTCTAAGTTCTGTCCGTACAGAATGGGACCCTTTGGATGTTTGCTTTGGCATGAAACAGCCTTATCAGGTGTTCACAGTGGAGCGCTCCATCAGTGCAGACAAAGAGCCCATGGCTGACAGCTGCATCTATGAATGTGTTCGGAACAAAATCCAGTGTGTGTCAGTCACCAGAATACCACTAAAATCGAAGGTCATCAGCTGCTGCAGGAATGTTACTGAAGACAAACTAATTCTGGGCTGTGAAGATTCTTCAGTAATACTTTATGAAACTCAACGTAGAGTGACTGTCTTAGCTCAGGCTGAACTTTTGCCTTCATTAATAAGCTGCCACCCAAGTGGTGCCATTCTGCTAGTTGGCAGCAACCAAGGGGAGCTGCAAATTTTTGATATGGCTCTATCCCCTATTAACATCCAGCTCTTGGCTGAAGACCGCTTACCCAGGGAGACTTTGCAGTTCAATAAATTCTTTGATGTTCCCAGCAGTCTTGTTCAAATGCAGTGGATAGCTCCTCAGGCTATTTCACAGAAGCCTGAAAGTGGTGACATCTGTGATCTCCTCTTCCTCAGGTTTGACAAAGGACCTTTGGGTGTACTTTTGTTTAAACTTGGTAAGTTGATGGGGGTTGATGAGTAAGTAAATTAAAGTACTTATGATGGTGTCATAATTATGGCAATAAAAGTATTCTTGGAATATAGATTTTTTTCTATTTGTTTTCCTGTGAATATGTTTCAAACATTTCATATAGTTTCCTTAAAAATGTTTTGTGTATGATTTTTTGTAAAAGCAATATTTGATACTTAAGAATTTGGAAATTGTACTACTAATTGTCAATCAGGATGATTAAAAAGCCTTAATTTTCACATTTGATATTCTCTAAAATTAAAAAAAGGTGACTATTTTAAAAGTACTTCTTAGGTCCATTGAAAAATTCTGTGTTGTATGAATGTAATAGTTTTTCTATAAAATTAGATTATTGGTGTCTGTCGCTTTCCAGATTGGAATTTTGTGAAGCAATTGTCTTAAAATTTAAAAAAGCAGATGTTTAGTTAGAAATTGCTGAAGATATTCTCTTAACTTTTGATTTTTGTTTTCCTTTTGGATAAAAGTATTTAGAAGGATTTATCACTATAGCAAAATCATATGTTCCTGTAGCCCATTTCAACCAAGGGACCTTAAAATGAAATTTTATTATGATGATTCATTTACCTTTTGTAGTTTTACATTATCAGTTATGCCCTGAGATCTATGATATACTTTCAGTAGTTTTCTATAATTTAACATTCTTTCAAGAAACTTAGGTCTAGAAAAATAAATTTTAATTAATGTATATTATGTCCACATGAGAACAGAGAAATGTAAATACATCTTAAAACCCCTTACAGGAGTTGGGTCTGTGGTACAAAGTTAAATTTTTAAAGATGTAGTATTTGTTAAATAGCTTTCAATTTACTTTTTTTTTTTTTTAATGGATATACTTGTCTCTGAAATTGAACATATTAAATAAATCTAGTGAAAATGACTTGAATAACCTAAAAGATATAAGGCATATAATGTGAGGTCTATGTTCTTTCCACATAATAAAATGCAGTTAAATCTATTCATAATGTTAATATTGTCCAAGAAAAAATGTTTGGAATCTATTTATTATGAGATAATACAGTTATACTTTGCCCAACTACATGTTTAACAGTTGTATGTCTCCATACACAACACTAATTAAAGTGGATGTTTGATGTTTTGCATGTCTGTTAAAACACACAGACATGCACACATATTCTCTCTCCCGCTTTCTTCCGTGGTCTTGCTCTCTCTCTCCTTTTCACCCTGTAAATTACTCAGTTACCTGTCAAACAGAAGGCTGTCTGCCCACATACACCTAGCTTTTCTTCAGCCCTCCCTTGTGGGCCTACGAAAAACAGCTTTGCAAAAAGCACAGCTTTCTCTTCCTATCTCTAGCACATTTGCCTTCTTACTAAAGTAAACAGGCTCTCATTGTAGGGATTTAGAGGGCTTCCTGCTAATTGCCAGCTTGTAAACTTAATTGGACTGTCTCCCTGGGCACTGTTCCTAAATCAATTAGGCAATGAGTTGGCTGTCACCTCTTTTTACCAAGAAGGTCTCTTGGAAGAGAATTATCCTATAGAAGTAAGCATTGAAATGAAAAGGTGATAACTTTTCAACTGACATTTATCATTTAAATTTTGTCTTCAATATGACTTTTAAGTTTTATAGGATAGAGAAATTGTATAGTCTTATAGGCTCTTTAAAAGATCTAAATATGGAATTTCCAAGGATTTTTAAAAGTTTTGTTTCTCATTTTTAATGTATTATGAGCTTAATATTTATTACAAATTATTTTTCCTGGGAAGAGTAGATTCCTTGAAACAGAAGATTCCAACTAGCAGATTTTTTTTTTTAAAGAAAACTCAGTTTAAAGAACAGATTTTTCTTATGATCTGGTACTAAATACATCCAAAAAAATTAATATACTTCTTGAATTAACACAGTGCTGATTCTGGGCATCCATGTGGAATTTTCATGTATAATTCAAGTTACTGCATATATAAACAGGTAGTTGCATGTGCAGTTTCTCTGCTAGGGAGCATTTATGAGATTTTTTTTTCAGATGCTTGTTATGCAAGCCTTTGGAAAATTTGACATGAAAGGTGTAGCTTACAATCTAAAATTGTAAAGATAGATCATAAATCGTAGTTTAAAATAGAAAGCTGTCATATGTAAACGTAGTGTAGCTAATGCCAATATGCTAAGATTTTTGGAGTTTCACTCTTAGATTAGGTCAGTTAGTGTAATGTTGAAGGAAAACTGTTTCAAGACTGCAGCTTCCATTCTCAATCCCTGTAATGATTGCAGAAATGTGTTGGACATTAAAAGGCTATAACCACAGTTATTAGCAGAAATCAAAGATCATGTCTTCTTCAAGAGGCAACTAGAAGTGTCATCCTCCCATGTGGAAGCCAAGAAATATTGTTTTATATAAAGCAATATGTATTCAGAATTTCTTTATGTGACAGTCATTATCACATATTTCCACATACATAGACTGAAATTAACTTTAAAAAGAGGTCCTAATTATACTACTGAGATACTAAAGCTTTTCCATTCTCATCTAATACCTTTTCCAAGTTTCCCTGCTCTCTTTAAACTCACATAATCAGCTTCCTGCCCTCTCAACAGAGGATCTCACCTTTTTAATTGGTACTTCATTAAGTTTATCTACTCTTTAACTCAACCTACCTACCCAACCACTTGATATACATACAAGTCTTTCCTTCTCAAGTCAGTAAAAAATGGACCCCCATTTCTTGTCCAAGACTAGTTCCACCATACTTCCACTATGGTCCTACAACATTCCTTTTGACACTTTTACTTTTTCACCCTCCATACTCACTTGATCTTGCTATGTCAGCAGATATGGTTTTGACACACCATAAAAGCAAAATTCTTCCTTAAAATTGTTTCTCCATTGTTAGTAATCGAATGCTTACCTTCCTTTTATAGCCAAACTCATTGAAATAATAGTGAACACTGGTTTTCTCTGCTGCTTCACTTCTTACTCCTCAGAGCACTGTGTTCTGTGTCTTCAGTGTTCTCTTGGGAAAGACACCAGTGACTTCCTAATTCAGTGGTTCTCAACCTTCCTAATGCCCTGGCCCTTTAATACAGTTTAAGAACTGCTGTCCTAATTGATAAATATATTTCTCTTATGTTGCTTGATAACTTTTCAGCTTTTGGTGATTGCTGACATCAACTGACACAGAACTCTCCTTGTTCTTACCTTCTGTGACCTTAAATGCAACTTTCTGTCATTTTTTTATACTCTTCTGCCTACTCATGAAAATGTTGGGGGGCTCTCCGGGGTTCTATTTTTAGCTCTTCTCTCATTTTATATAGGTTGAAAGTATAATTTGTTATCTATTTAATTTATTATCTCATCTCTGACTCTAGCACAGACCACTCTTGACTCCACATCTGCATATTTACTTGGCTTGCTGGATGCTTTCTCTTGATGTACATAGGTGCCTCAAACTCATTATGTACATACAAGGAAGTCATCATCTCTGTCCTCAAACCTACTTTTTCCTGGTATTCTTTTTTTTTTTCCTCCTTTTTTTGGGAGACAGACTCTGTCACCTTGAGTAGAGTGGCATGGCATCACAGCTCACAGCAACCTCAAACTTTTGAGCTCAAGAGTTCCTCATGCCTCAGCCTACCAAGTAGCTGGGACTACGGGCACCTGCCATGACAATCAGCTAGTTTTTCTATTTTTAGTAGAGATAGGATCTGACTCTTGCTCAGGCTGGTCTCAAACTCCTGACCTCAACTGGTCTACCTGCCTTGGTCTCCCCAAATGCTAATATTACTGGTATAAGCCACCACGCCCACCTCTAGTATTCTTTATTTTGGTTGATGATACAGTAATTCAGATGGAACATACAAGTCAAAAGATATTCTAAAATCTTCCCTCCTTCATGCCAAGGCCATATCTAATCAGTGAGCAAATCCCATCAACATTGCCTTATAAATACTGTTAAAACATCTCATTCAGTTCAGTTTCACTGTCATTGCCCTAATCGAGATCATCTGTACTCTTCTATCTTCCAAACTTCCCATCCTACTCCTCAGTTAATCCTGAGTGCCATCCGAATGATCTTTCAAACTGTGCAGATTTGGCCATAGATTATCCAGCTTGAAAGACTCCAGAGGTTAATAAATTCTGTTTTTCACTTGGGCATCATCTCCCCAGCTGTGCTATACTCATATAGCTTCCCAGGCCTGGCATGTGCTTGTAAGCTCATTCCTTCCGTGATGGTACTAATAATATTTCGTCTGCCTGGATGTCCCCACAGTGCTCTCATAGAGCAGATAGGTTGGGAGAAGGTTAAATGTTCAGACGATAATATTAGAGATAATTGAAGCTAACATCTTCTCTCATAGAATTTTGAAAAGCACAGATACGTGTGTGTAAATGTCACTTTCTAAAAAAACAAGTAATATGAATATTCTCTCAAATTCTGTAAGAAATGGATTCAAAAGAGAGTTTTTTTTGAAGAGTTATTTTTAATTATTATTTCATTATTATACTTTACCCAAGTGGTAATTGGTTATTTATTGCTGGAAAGAAATGTCAGATACTTCGTTAGATCTCTAGTCATCTTAAATTTAGATTTCATATCATTTGAAATGAATTTTTATTTCAAATAGCATTCTACTTACAATTTATAAATGAAATATATCAATTTTAAGTGTACAGTTCGATGAGTTGTTTTTTTTTTTTTGAGATAGGGTCTCAAGCTGTCACCCTGGATAGAGTACCATGGCATCAACCTCAAACTCTTGGGCTCAAACGATCCTCTTGCCTCAGATTTTCTATATTTATTAGAGATGGGGTCTCATTTTTGCTCAGGCTGGTCTCGAACCTGTGAGCTCAAGCAGTCTACCTGCCTTGGCCTCTCAGAGGGCTAGGATTACAGGAGTGAGCCACTGAGTCCGGCAGTTCAATGAGTTTTGACAAATGTGTATCCCTTTATGATTACCACCACAACCAAGGTATAGAACATTTCTATCATCCCCCAAAATTCTCAGACC